GGTTGGAGGCCCCCACGCAGGCGAGACCCTCGCCTTCCCCATCCCACATCCGACTCACTTGATGCCTGCGCGGTCCTGGAGGTGGCTCAGGTTGCTCCGGACGGTGCGGAGGCTGGCCAGGACCTGGGGGGCGAGAGGGGGCTGGGGCCAGGCAGACCCCCCTGAGACACCCTCCCCAGCTCTGGGTGCAGGTCCGTGTCCCCTCCTTGCCAGGGCACGGGGACAGCACCCACCTGGGCAAACGGTGTGACGATCATGTCTTCTCCATGCCTGTGGGAGCAAAGGGAGCGTGAGCCCCAGGGAGGGGATCGGGGGTCCCAGGGGACTCGGGGTGGGGACACTCACAGGTCACTGGCAATGGAGGAGTTGCGGGACATGGCTTTTGGGGACAGGTCGTAGTCACTGTCAGAGCGGTAGAGGAAGGACTCGCGGCGCTGGCCATGGGGGAAGGTGCCTTGCAGTACCAGCCCCGCGCCCGGGCTGGCCTGGGGGTCCAGTGTGCCTCGGCCTGGGGGGCCATTCTCCAGGTCAAAGCTGTGAGGGGAGAGGGGACAAGGCTGGCACAGGGCGGGTGGCCCCGAGACCTCAGCCCATGGGTTCAGGGGCACAGCCCAAGGGATGCCGCCAGGTTTGCCAGGCTCTCTGTGCCACCATCAGTCCAGCACACCCTGGCTCGCTGGCCCCTGTGGTGACACCGGCCACCACCCAGCCTGGCCCCACCGACTCCTTCACCCCAATGCTGAGAATGGGCACAACTCAGTGCACGTGGATCCCCTCAGCACTCTGCCAGCACAGTGGGGGCCAGGACTGGGGACACCAGCTAGCAAAGGCAGGTTGTCCCATGTCACCCAGGTGGGACAGGACCCCCCGCCCTGAAGTCCCCGGCTCCAGAGACGCCAGGAAGTGCTGGCTCCTGCACGCCCTGTCCCTGTCCCCAATCCCCATGGTCCCCAGTTGCCCCAAGTCCTCGAAAGCCCCAAAGTGTCCGTTAGCCCTGGCTCGGGGTACCATGTCCCATGGTGGGGGGGCAGTGTCCCAGCCACATGGAGCCAGGGGACACTGAAGGACAGAAACCACCAGGGAAGCCAAGCCCTGGTCCTGGGGCACATGCTGGTGGTGGCCTGGGGACACCCCAACCAGAGCCACCTGGCAGCCGTGCAGGTCCATGGGGGGGACAGGGGACATGGGGACAGGAACAGTGACCCTGTGGTGTCCCCATGGTGGCCGCGGCTGCCTCACCCCCCTCCTGTTTCACTGGCCCCAGGGTCATGGGAAACGCTGCGCACGGGGACGCGGCGAGGGCGACCCAGCTCCTGTCTCCTCTCACAGCCACCGCCGCCGCAGGAACGAGCCACCCCAGAGCACTGGGTGAACTGGGAAAGCATGGGTGCTACTGGGGCCACCCTGTCCCCATCGCGTCACTGGGAGCTCGGCACCTACCCGATGCAGGAGTGCCTCCGGGACGGGCACCGGCTGCCTGGCAGCATCTCCCCGCTCCAGCAGTGCCACC